CCCGCCCCCCCCCGCCGCCAGTCCGGTAGTCGTCCCCAACTACTACCACCACCAGTACGGCCAGTACGTACACGGCGGCTACATGGCGGACGCCGGCGGTTCTGGATCTAGCTCTTTGGTGGCGGTTGGGGTTCAGTACTACTATGGTGGGTCCACCCCGGAGTCTGATCTTTCTCCCACCACCACCAACACCGTTGATAATGCTGACCGCCTCAACCTTGACCTCTCTCTTCACTTGTGATCGATCATCCAACGGCATGATCATCGTCCACTTCCATGATCTCTTTTTCTTCTTTTTTTTGCTTTTTGGGTCTTAGGTTTTTTTTTTATTTGAGTTTTGAAATGAAGTTGAAATTAGTTGTGTAGCTAAGCTAGGGACTGACTATTAAGACGGAGAGAGGCTGATTGGTAAATACGAGATAGTTAAAGATATAAGTAGATTGACACGAATGATCTTGTGATGAAGATGGATTAGATGCGTGGGTTTCATGAGTTCGAGATTTAGTTTGAATTAGGACTAGTACTTCTGATATTAATTCCTATATTAATTTCTAGTTTGGAGAAGTAAAAACTACTTAATGTTCTTCATGATATAAATTGTCATGCACTGATATTGGTAACTTGTCATCTTTTTATGTTGACGTAGAATGATACTTTTTGTTCTTATTTGTTTTAATTATAATATCTCAGATTCTCATCTACTTTCTGGTTTATTAATATGTCAAGGGTTCTGATATTAATCTTCTCTCCTACAATAATATCCTCTCGTATTTTATATATTATTAAGTAATTCATGTTTCTGAGATTTATACATATATACATACAAATATATATATATATATATAGCAAATGTCCTTGATATTTTATGTGTGTATGTGATGTTAAAAATTTGCATTATTGTTTGTATTCTTAAAGTACCTCGTGCTCATCCAAATATATAATATCGAGGCTGGCCATAACTCATGGCGATATGTCCTATCCGTACAACTTTTATTTTTTATTTTTTGTTAAAGGACCAATTTATTATATATATATGTCAAATTTCAGTAGCTCCTTCATTCCTTTTGCTTTTACGTTAAGGTGTTAGTTTCGGCTGTCAGATCAAGGATCGGAATTGTATTTAATAAAGCATAAAACCTGTTTAACTAATTAATTGTACTTAATTACTTATTTTAATTAAGATGGTGCTTGAGTTGGGCCTAATTACTAAACTCCACCTGATCGCCCCCAACACAAAGCCCAAAGATTAAAGCCACTGGTCGTCAGTCGTCGACTTTTTATTTATTTATTTATTATTTTCATTTTCAGTTTATTTTTTGATTGCTCTCCTTTGTCTGGCCAGATGTGATGTTTGATTGATTTATTGTATATTCAAACCGATGGGTTTGGTGTTGATTTGGTGGAATTGATAGAACCTACAGATGTGGTGGTATGGCTGGGTAGAATTCATTCATTTCTCTCCTTTTTTTATTTTATTTTATTTTTTTTCAATTTATATTCGTACGTTTATATTAGTCATTGCTAATTAGGATCAATTGATGAGTCTATGATTTATATATGAAGTATGAACCCCCTTTTTGTGGTAATAGTTGGAGAACTCAAACTACACAAGTAGTGTTCAGCTAGCTGATGTTAGTAGCCTTCTCGTAAAGAAATATATATATATATATATATATGTATGTATAATAATGAGATTCAAATAAAGATCCACTCATCAATGAAAATTCCGCCTTAGCTACTAAATATGCAAATGAAAAGGATTTTAAAAAAAAAAAATCAATGACTTAGGCTTCGTTTGGCTGGAGAGGGGAGAGTAGGGAGGTTGAAAAATGTTAAGAGGAATGACGGATAGAAAAGATAGAGAAAATGATAGTAATTTTTCAAGTTAGTTAATTTGAGGAACGAATAATTATTTTCTAATCACGATATGTTGCCCATTTATCCTTTATCAATTTTTTAAGGCTAAAATAGTCTTTTCAATCTCTCCCCCTTTGTCCTTCAAACCAAACAGATCATGTTTTTATAGTCTTCCCTCCGACCCTCTCCATCAACCCATCAATCTTCAGTCCCTCCAACTAACTAATGCATACATTTTTGTTTGATAGGCCTAACTAATGCATACATACGCATCGCAGAATCTTATACCTTTAAAAGCAAACTATTTGAGAAAACCCCAGTAATAGTTCAACTTTTGTTTTCCCCCCGTTTTGAGGGTACAACTTACAAGGTCGTTCAAACTTTTACAAAGAATGTTTTATGTATGCAAATTGCAAGAGAATGTTTTGCAAAAAGTTGAACTTCAGTTTATATTACCCACCAGTCACCAGTAATAGCTCTCGTAACTTTTAAAGTTTCAACTAAAAAGTATTTCTCTTTCAAAAGGAACAGCAATTATAATACTAGGAAGGCAAAAGAATTGTTCGGTTGCATTTTTGAGTTTCAGTGACTTAGTGTAGATCTTTAAGTTGAATTTGAATTATAATTTGAGTTAAAATTATAACTTGAGTTTGTGTTTGGATGTATACATTTGAGTTATGCTTTGAATTGATAATTTATTTAATTTTGTGTTTGAGTTGGTCAAAACTTAAATTTGTATTTAGATAGTATTTTAATAAAAACTCAATAGTGATGAAAAATTTTAATATAGTATATGGGTGGAGTTTTATTCGTCTCTTCGTTGTGAACGCTTAGAAAAAAAATATCTCAATTAGAATTAAAATGAAAAAATTATTAACGTTTTTCATAATAAAAAAAAATATTGTTCATTAACTTGAATTTTAGTTTAAGAACTTGAGTTGAAGAGAAAACTTGAACTTTAGATTTTAATCTCAAACTCAAGTTCAAACTCAAATTTTACAAACGCACATAAACTTAATAAAGTTATAACTTGAGTTCAAACTTTTTTTAAATTTTACTTCAAAAGAAGAAGCCCTAAAAATCCTGCCTAACTTCCTGAGAAAAGATATATAAATAATTAAGACCATTCTACGTCAGTGATGAAGGACATTATGGCATAAACTACACAAAAATACACAACATTTATTTATGTATGTACAAGTGAAATTTCCAAATTAAATTCTCATTATTGGTTTTCAATCATAATGCATCTTGCCAATGCTCAATGTTCAATTTTAGCAAAGCCGCAAAAACTGTCAAAAACAACGGTTCGAAAGTGCCGTTCATTTTTTTTTTCGTTTATTTTTTTATTCGTTATTTTCTTTATTACAATCACTTAGGACCAAAGAATCAAACGATTGATGAGCAAATAATTTGTTCCCTGCCAACCAAAATGATGAGGGTAAAGGCTGGAACTTGGGTGTGCAAAAAGATCAAATTTCAAAGGTTGGAACTTCAGATGTAAAACCATTTGTGGCTTGGTAAACTAGCCGAGGCAATATGTTTCTGTAACGATCTTTTTCTCTTTTCTCTTTCAAATAAGCAATGCATCTCTCAACCTCTGACTTGACTTGTAAATACAGTTCATGCGATTTTTCCCTGTCTCGTAACTCATGCTTCCTCCCTTCACAATTGAATATTCCAAATTGGAAGTCAATCAAATTAGTAGAGACTAAGCAACCAAGAAATACATTGGGAAAAGAAAATTAAAGTGATGTACCTTCTGTTTCAATTGGTTTCCCGAAATAATAGTAAAACCGGCCGGGGAGTTTTGGTAAGATTCCTGGGAGGTGTACAGGTTGGTTTGCTACCTCTCCATTCGTATCGTTCCTATAATCGTACAATCACATCGGAATTCAGATAGAAAGTCAGCATTGAGAAATTCAAGCTGATATGGGAAACAAGGATGAATGCCAGGGTACATTGGCTATAATATGAAAGAAGGCTCAGTTGAAATCAAATGTAGAATTTCCAAGTACCTTAACTTCACAACCTGATTCGTCAACTCCTCAATTTGGTCCCTTAAATATGGAATTTTTATTTGGTCCTCATAATCGAAAAAGACCTGAACAATGAAGATTTTTCTATCATTCATCAGCATGCATATCAATCAACTCGAAAGCAATCATAAAGAAGGTGAAAATAAGAAACAAGCCATGCACCTTTGGATGAGACATTATTTTCATGATAGAAAATTCAAAATAATTCTATTTTTAAGGGAAGAAAAGGGGACATTGAGGATGTTCTCTTTAAATTCTTCAATAACATACATTACTAGCTGCTTATCTGGCTGCAGTCAAGAAAAAGAGCTCTTTTGTTTTAGGCTTTTCAATTTCAGTCATGTTGAGAAAAATAGAAACTATTCTCCAAGAAAGGAAAAGAGAGAGTGAAAGGGGACAAGGGTCTAATCTTTTGGTTTATGATAGCAATAAAAAAGGACTATATTATTGGGTATTTTGCTTAGAAAATAGGACCAGATCCATTTATATTGTCATAACATGTACATGTTAAACATAATGAGAGTTTAGGAAATAAGTCGGTGCACAGGGGAAAGTGGATATATTCACACTCCTGGTCCTGTATATTCCTCTATAGAAATAGCTCTGAAGAATATATGTTATTATTTTGCAGTGCATGTATCATTTGTCAATTATCTGAAAGAGGACGCGGCGACCATTAAAGAAAGGCAAGGTTTTGTGGCTTACTTCACCAATATCATCTTCCCCAACAACTCCAAAAGGTATAATTTTGGCTCCAAATCTAGCTGCCATCCTCACAAACTCCGACTGTTCTGGCCAGAATAACTTGTATTCTTCTCCCTGAAAAGTGCGAGTTCAGTATCGAACTGGTCCAATCACAGTGTTTTGAATTTCTAAAGGCTAATACTGTAGTTTCCTAGAAAAATATTAGTTACACGCAGAACATCATGCAGCACCTTTACAATCATTTAAGGCCCCGTTCACTTCGCTGATTCGAGTTTAGAATTCGAGTTTTTCTACAGTAAAAAGCTCTCACAAACAATCACATCTAACTTTTTTGCTACAGTAAAAAGCTCACATAAAGTCACATCTCAACTCGAATTCTAAACTCGCATCAGCGAAGTGAACGGGGCCTAAGTCATCCTGGTATGACTCTAAGAACAAAAGTCATGGTGATAAATGTCAAGGACGTTAAAAGTCAAACTGCCAAGTGTTACCTTACGATGAAGAGCCTCACGCATTCCACCAGGATAGAGCAGGACATGAGATTTCGAAGAGAAGAGTTTGTAAATGTTCTTTCCAGAGACAGGAACTGCTCCCATAATCCTGTATGTATCGAATGATGAAAACTCGCGTAACGTTCCTTTTTGAAGATTCATGAACATCATAGGATGTGCTATTCCTCGCAGAAGGATATTTCTTTCTATCAACAACTGGGCTACAAGGGGAGCCAAATCGATTCCGAGTAACATATGGTAGCCGACAAACAAGACTGGACCCTCTGAAGGAATGCCGGCAAGGCCTCTAACAATTTTCCCAGTATCTAAAGTGGAGAGCATCACTGGGCTCGTAGCCACGTAAATCCATCTGGAAAAATCATAATTGTTAATCATGAGAAATGATATAGTAAAAAGAAGTATCCAGATTAGCTTGAGAATGCTTTGCACGCTGTGGGCCTAATAAGGATTTGAACTCTAGAGTTAAGCTACCAACTCCTTTTTTGACAGAGAGTGAAGATTATTCTTTCTTTCCTTCCCTTTTTACACCAAAATGATACTTACTGGTTTGATTCCATAATCTTTTTGAATTCAGAAGGAGTTGGTGGAATGTAATCAAACACATAGTCAGGGTGTCTTGAACGACGGTAGAAACTAGTACTCTTTATGATTGTTACCAAGTCCACATCATCTTCCTGCATGGATTGTCAATTCAAACAAAATTTTACCATCTTATAATTGGAAACACATTAATTAACTAAACTAAGAAATATGTACTTTGCCTCTTTTTTCACAGTAAACTACAGCTTCTTAATATATGTAGCTCAACCAGTATTTTAATCCTACCAAGAAGATGAAATGGCCAGTGTCCTCAAAATTGCGTATCATACAATTCGGAAGTAATTGGTGGAGTCTTGTAGCTTCCTTCTGACTAGGCAGCAACACGTCCCTTCCACTGAGAAAACAAACAGTGAACTCAGCCCCTTTATTCTGGATGAATGATGAACTTAGACACGAAAGAGCTCTCATAATACATGATAAAAAGTTGACTATTTGGTCAACGGGTATTAGACTTAAAAAAGAGAGTTGTGGATTTAAACTGTATCATCAGGAAATGGAGATTGCAGATGTGTATAACCAAAAAAAAATTCTCGCCGTCCTTATTTGTTAATTTTTATTGGTAAAGCATATACGTATTGGGTAAGTCAGCATACTGCCTATTGCAGTGCATATTAAAGCCTTAAAGCCCATAAAAACAGAACCTTGACACTAAGCCTCAGGCTCTGAAACAAGAGTGCAAAACGCCATTAACTAAAATCAGTAATCTGTAGCTGAAATTCATTGCATAAATCTATAAACACCTCAAGATGCTTGGAACTGCAAGAATTAGTCAAGTTTGCTAAGAATGAAAAGTATCTGTTGTATATCAAGCAGAGATTATATATACGTATAAATATTAAACATTTTCAAATATTTTATAATTGAATTCTCTAAATTATTTGTAAAATTCAAAGGATACTAAAAGAGGAGGACATAGACCTTGAAATTATAAGAGTTTCAGCTTTTACAGCATGCAAGCGTGAATTGGAAAATGCCGAAGCTGATTTAAGCATCTGTAGCTTCCAAAGAAGTGTTTTTGTTGGCAAAATATCAGCGAGAACCTGTTGACTCCAACCATCAATCCGGAGCAACCTTACTAGATAACACAACGGAATGACAAATCAACATGAAAGAGTAATATCAAGGATCCAAGCTCGGTCTAATTCTAGTTAGGATCCAATAAGAAGGCATACTCAAGAAACCCCCCTCGCCAAATAAACAAATAAATAAATCAAAGAAAGGCATGAAGAAGCCTTCCTATATTCTGATCCTTTTTTTTTCCCCCTCAAATCTAAATATTAGTCTTCGGAAAACAAGTAAATTTGAAGGCTATATCTTACAGGGAGGTAGGATGACATTGCAACCAGATCACTTGATAGCTCTCCAATAGTCATTGGCAGAGGAAGCCCCTGCTGAAAAATAGCCTCGACCATCCTTAAAGAATCACCTATGTGAAGCGAGAATATAACTATAAACAATTATCATTGGCAATCCGTTAGTTACCAAGAATGAAAACTGAAGAAATAGGAAAGCAAACCTGAAACTAAACTCAGCATATAAGGAAGGCTAAGTTGGAAAGACTCAGGCGCGACTTCCAATAAAGGAATTAGAAGTTGAAGTTGTGATTGTCTGAAAGATGTACCTGCCATAAGAACATACCAGACTTATTAACTGGATGTGAAGCTACAGTAAAGCTGATTTACAAGGGTGTAAAATATTTAAACAATCCTTGAGACGAGAAGAAAATCGTTACCTGGATTGGCTAAAATTAGAACAAGGTCAATATCGGGATTGAGGGCTGCCACAGATAGCGCAAGGCATGCTCCAATAGTTTCTCCAACAAGGTATATGGGCCTATTCGGCGAACGATGATGCTCTGATCTAACTGTTTTCTCAACCAGCTTCACCAGCTCTAACATGGAAATTATGGAAAAAGGTTGAGAAATTTTAGTCCACTTGTTCCACAACAGCTCAATGTACCCAGTTGGATAACAAGTGTAACCTTTAAACCCAGAGATCAAGCAGACACTATTTTGCGCAAATCTACCAATGAAAGCAAACTATTCTACTCCAAAGTAATGAAAGAGAGAGAAAAAGATGAACCTGAAAAAGGTGTTCGATCCTTGACCGGGATATGCAAGCACCATACGTCAAAAATTCTGAATTTCAATACTAGTTAGAATAGTGATTTGAAATGAAAGAAATTTAGCTATTAAAACGTTTCAATCATCATCAAAATTATTCTGAAATCGTATGTGGCTTCAATGAAACTAGTTGCATTGCATGAGAATAAGCAACTATTTGAAGCATAAATTTCCATATCCATGACACTTACTCTCCAAGCTTTTTATAATGCATTATAAGTCCAAGTCCAACGCCATCAATTCCTGCATAATCCAAGCCGAATCAAAGCCTAAACAAAACACAAATTTTTATTTAAACAAAAAAAGATCACAAAATTATCTTGTGAGTTCAAGTGAAATTAGATGTTCAACCTTGTAGTTTTAAGAAGCTCACTTTATCAATTTCTTCAAAATCTTTCCTTTCTAACATTTTTTTTTCCTTACATTTACTTAATATTATAAAGTTAGACAACATGAAAGTTTATAGTGTGTCTAAATTTAATAGAATCTAATACTAACGGGTAGAATTAGCAAGTACAATATATATAAGTACGTGTGTGTGTGTGTGTGTGTGTGTGTGTGTACACAATATTATTGAAAATACAATGTTGGACATTGTGTTTCACTTGATAATATAAGCCTTATAAGCTTGATTGAAAATGCAATTTTTCTTGATTTCTCATTTCAATAAGCTTGAAAAAACAAAAACAAAAAAACAAAAAGAACGCAAGCAAACTAAGGGTGGGATAGAATGATTTTGGGGCGGGGACCACGACCGCGTCTTGCCCTGTTGCCATCCCCAAAGCAAATAAGTCATTAGTTACTTTTTTCCTTTTTTTTTTTTTTTTTTTTTTTTGCTGAATACTAACTTTTTTCCTTAATCATATTCTATTTTTCTTTTTCTTTTTTTTTCTCCTAATAGAAACCAAATCAACAAAAAAAGGAACGCCATAAAAGTATAGCATAATTTCCTAAAAAGAAAGGAAGAATTTAATTCACTGAGAAAAAAAAAGAGTACAAAAGTCAAATAACAACAAACCAGGCAAAAAGAGAAGCAAGGGAGAATCGTTGAGGCGAGAGAAGGCGGCGCAGTCCAAGGGCGAGAACCATCGCGGCGGTCCACCGTCGACGGAGCGAACCAAATCCTTGGTCTGCTCCAAGTAATCCTTTACGCTCCTCCGGTTCTCCGGATCCTCCAAGGAAAACGGCCTCGTTGCAGGAGCTCCGTTGTCGCGAATCTTCTCGAACCTTCTCATGTTCTCCGCAGAGAAACCGTCCGTTCGCTTCGTCGTGTTTGCCCGCAAATGGCCGGCGTCCGTGTGCTCAGCTTTCAGCCGCCGAGTCGGAATCGGATTGGAGCTAGAGCTGAAAGTGGAAGTTCCGGAGGGTGAGTTGGTGGAGCAGCAGAAAATGGCGGCCGGAAAGAGGGGAGTGACGGTGGACGCCATGGGAGGGAGGGAAGGGAGTTGATCAGCTGCAGAGACGTAGATGGATGGCGGTCTTCGCTAATTTTTGAAGCTTTTTTTTTGTTTTTTGAAAATTATTTTTGAAGCTTTTCATATGTAGACAGTTCTATTGTACTCCAGCAATTTTTTTAAAAAAAAAATTCTTCGATTGGCGTTTGTGGAGCGGGGTTTTGGTAGTGTGTGACGCGCCTTTTTAATATACCATTAGATTTTGACGTTGTCAAGCTATATAAGATTTTAGCAATGTTTTACTAATAAGTCCATAATCAATTCTAAAATTATAGAATAATACTAGAAAAACCAACTCTAATTCTAATTCTTTAGCTGATTTTTAAAATCATAATGAGAGATTGTCAATAAAAAATGACAACTTAAATTAGTAAAAAAAAATTGGGATTAAAATTGGTGTTCTAACTTTTTTTTTCTTTTTTTTTATTTTCTAAATATCATGCGTAGCACAAGTTTCAACCTATGAGGTAAAACAATATGATTCGTTGATATTTTTTCTTTTAGATTTTATCATTTTCTTAATCATTCAACGACGTGAAAATGAGATGCATGTATATCCTAGTATTTTGGGATGCATTGTAGTTAGATCGCTTTTTTACAAGTAAAACAATAAAAGAAGAAATTATTTGGTACTTAAAAAAAAATATCCTATCAATATTTGTAATTCTGGAATGTCAAAGTTTTATCAAGTTTATTAAATTGTATACTTTTTATTTATGATAGGATCATAGTATGATTCAATAATGCAAGACCACATTCATATATAATTTGAATATATATGCTCAAAAGTACTATATATAATCATTAAAAAATTTTCAAAATAGTTAAATTTTGGACCTAGTTTTAAAGTCAACTTATTTTTTAGATTAAATTGAATTTATAATCGTATTTTTAGCTTCAGTTAATGATAGAAAGTCAATTCTTAATGCATTATGTATTTTTCTTTTCTTGGAGGGAAAACGAAGCATGTGGCGACTATTTATTCATATCAGAGATACAATAAGGTTGGGAAATTTTATTGTTATAACTTATATCCAATATATTACTTCTCTTATGGCTTTGGAGATTTTTTTTAATTATTTTTTTTTCAAAGTAGAAATAATGTGTCTAAGACCTTCTTCTATTTTCTTTTTCTGTTGGCCAAAAATTCTGTCCTTGGTTTGAAAAGGACGCTTTGGGTGCGTTTAGAATTAGTTCTAAAATGATTTTATTTTCTGTATGAAAATGAAAATGAAAACGTTTTCATTTTTATTTTGAAATTATTTCTGAAAATACATTTGGTAGTTTTATTTAGAGATTGATTTCAATTTTTTTTTTTAAAAGCAAAAAGAAAAGGTTGTTCACAAGCACTTAAACACAAAAATCCCGCAAGGAAACCAAAACTTGATCCTATCCTAAAAAAAAGATTACAACTTTTCTTTCATCAACAAAACTTGACCTCATTTGAGGGAAAAAAAAAAAAACACATTACTGAAACATATGACTAAAACGATTGAAACTGTATATACAAAAGCAAACAAAATATGTGTGTGTGTGTCTCTGTCTGCGTGTATTACAAATTACTACTATAACTTTACAATATCCACAAGGGGCAATAATATAACTTCACAAAAAGCAAAATTCAAGAAATATTACCATCAAATTCAATTAAGAAAAACTAGAAATAACACAAGAGACAAAAGCAGATACCTTTAACCAGACTTCAGTGTTGTTGGGCAAATTAAGGAGATTCCACTTGTGAATTGGAGTTGGAAACTGATAATAAAATCACCAGCAAGTATGAAAATTCAGTACAAACCATAGCAACACTCCAAAAAAGCCTCAGAAAATAAGAATCTAAAAAACCCATTTTAAAAGTTCCCCAAGAAAATCAGAGGATGACCCAAAGAACCAAAAAGGGAAAGGAGAAGAATTGGCTTACATGGCCGAGAGAGAAGACGTGAGAGGGAATTGGGCTGAGATGGGTCGCCCATGAAGGAGGTGAATACGGTTTCTTTGTGTGGAAATCCAAGCCCACTGCTCTGATGGTGTTGGCCTCCATTTTCTGAAGCTGAGAAGAGAGAGAGAAAGTGAGTCTGAGAAGGCGCTTTTGCTGGCTAAAGATGGTGGTTTTTTCCAAATCGGGCGAGAAGAACGGAGGAACTCGGCTAGGAATCAAATGGCGCAGCTGAAATCAGAAGAATCTGGGTTGAAGAAGGGCAGAAAAAGAATGAAAACGGGTCTCTGATGGCTGAAGAGAGAAAAGGAAAATGGAGGAGAAAATGAAAACGAGTTTTTTCCGTTTTCAGATTTTCAGAAAACGACAAAAACGTTTTTATTTTTGTTTTTTTAAAAAATTTGCACCAAACGCGTTTTACATCCACGTTTTCAGTTTTTAATCTCGAAAATCATGAAAAATAAAAACGAAAACAGAAACAAACAGGGCCATTGATTTTCTGATTTCTACCTTAATTTGTCTTTTCGTTTATGCATTATTACCATTTCTTTTATAATTTGGTGATTAAATATTAGATTTTATGGCCTACTATATCATATTCAATCCATAACCGGTCTTCAATTATTATGGCCCCTGATGAAGAGGTTATTTATCGATAAATCAAGTATTTTTAAATTTAAATATTTGTCAGTCTTTAAGTATTTTTGTTAGTTTAATATGTTTTTGGTGTTATTTTGTAAGAAAAATAATAAAATGGGACTTAGTGGCATTTTGGAGTCTAAAATTGGAGCAAAAAGCACTCATGGGCGCACAATGGCCTTCTTTGGCAGAACCACTTGTGAGGGTGCGCCACTTGAGGCCCACGCCACACCCCGCGTGGCCATGCCCCCTGCGTGCTGTTGACAAACTTTGGGTCATTTTTCAGTCTTTGATCAATATGGATGGCCATTGGACCCTTGGATGAGTTTGGCTGATATTTTCTCTATGTTTGAGCATACTTAAACAAAAGAAACCTTAGTTCTTAACTTGGAGAGGATGAGAGATACAAAAATTCCTAGAGAGAAAAACTTAGTGTTGGAGATTCTTGAAGAATGCTTAGGAGAGATTCTTGAAGATTTGAAGACTTAAAGTTCATATCCACAAGAGTTTTCTCTTCCTTCTCTCGTTTCTTTGTAGTTTTTTAGTTTTTGTTCTTGAATTTGTGATTTTGGTTATGGATCCTTCTATATTAAGCTAGATTTCATATTCTAAGGCTTAATGTAGCTTTATTTGAACCATATTTTCATTATATTATCAATTGTTAGTTAAATTAAATTTTAATTTATTTATGTTTTTCTATGCTTAATGTTTCTAATTTATGTGGCCAATGAGTTAGATAATTTTAGATTGTGATTTTGATGCTCGGGAGAGATTGATTTCATAGTCCAAATTTGGGAAACATAGTCTAAGTTGTTGTGAGCCCGAGAGGATATCAACACTTAAATAATCTCGTTGAGAGTCTAGGATATTGTGAGACCGAGAAGTAATCAAGACCTTGATTATCAACTAGAATTTCGATTGTTGTGAGGCCGGAAGGCGATCAATATTTGAGTTCTAATTTAAGGGCTAAACTTAATAAGTGTATGAGTAAACGGGTTAGATATGAATATTGATTCAGGTATTCATGCATATGGCTTCGTTTGACGCTCGGGAGAGGTAGCGAGGTTAGATTAAGTCCCTTGATTAATGAATTGAGTGAAATTGGCTAGCATTGGTTTAATAGAGTGAACATATGAATGATAAGGTGAAGTCAAGTCCCTAGTGCATATGTGAATAGAAGTTTCCATATTTTATTTTGTTTTGTATTTATATTTGTTTTAGTTTTATTTTTATTTTATTGAGTTCAGTTGTTTATATAAAGTTGAGATATGACAACCACGATACTTAACGACAATTTAATGCCTAAATTTTATAAAGACGATACTCACACATCTTATACTATTAAAACATAACACCGTACGATTAGGGACAAACGACCATAATTGATGGGCTTATCATTGCGTCTTGAAGAGACTAAAAGTAAAAATAATATGATGAATAAAAAGCATTATAAGCATGATGTAGTACTGACCTCATGAAAATGCCAAAATAAGATTCCTACTTTAAGATTAATGATGAGATAGCGCAAGAAATGAATCGAAAACCAAAAGTAGTCGATAAAAAGCTACTTTTATCGCTAAAAATAGTTCTGAATAATAATATTTTCATTTTACATATGTAGTTAAAAAGTAAATCAACGATAACTTTCTTGCATGCATCTTTCGTTAAATTAAAAAGAAGGGGCAAAGATTAATAATTAGCCAGGTTGTGCTTATAAAACTTGTGTACAAGTTAATTTATTTTTATTATATTTTTTTAATTGTTCACTTTGTGTGGATATTCCTCAGCAAATGTGCTGAAATAGCTTGTATTTACTGAGAAACGGAAAATATCAAATCGAAAACGAAATCATAAAATATTACCAATTATAAGCCTTTAGTTGTCAAGAAGACATCAGGTAAGTGTTCATTGCCAGATGTTTAATCGTGAGGAAGAAACAATCTTATACGATATTATATAATATACATGTATATTTATATATGTATATACATACATTTGCAAATTAACATAAGTAACATGGATTCAAATAATTGTTAATAACTCTCGGCCCTTTTCACGTTCCCAAATAGCCATTAATGGAAACATTAAAGCAAATCAAAGTAAAAAAAAATATATTCTCCTTGGATACTTTCTAGTTTCTGAAAAATATTTAGTTAAGTATGAATAAAAAAGAGGAAGAATTAGACGATCTGTTTGTTCATAGAATATTCCAATAGTGGTAAAAGTATTAAAGTTAATTTAGCTCAAATTTGTTTAAAATAAGAGTGCAGCAAAAGTGTGCACACCAAAAGAATAGGGAAAATTTTCCAGCAAAAAATTCATTTCGAGGAATAAATTTGGTTTCTTTAAGGAGGAAAAAGATTAATTAACAAATAAAAAATATTTTATTTGATGTTGGCTCTAATTACAGACAAAGAAATCCCTAATACGACGTTCTCATTGACGCCCTTGTTTGTTAAGGCGTGAGTCTTGTGAGAAAAACTTGTCCCAACAATGACTTATCAATTTGGCTTAAAAACAAATAAAAGAAAAGAAAATACAATGAAATATTTTAGGCAAAACCTCAACCTCACACTACCATTCCTACGCTTGGATACTTTCTTCTCTTCCTGCTCTATGGTTTTTTTTTTCTCTCTCTTTTGACTTTATTAGTCATTGGGTTATAGTTATTGGTTCTTGTCTAATATTAATGGGATTAGACCAACACTAAAAGTGAGATAAAATATATAAGCAGAAAATTATAAATAAGGCAAACCTCAGGTCCCAAACATAAGCTAAGAGCCCGTTTAGTTGGAGGATTCGTTCTCTAATTCGAATCATAGTTCATGGTTCGTTACAGTATTTTATCTCATAAAAAATACACGTAAATAAAAAATTGTTCTAATCCATGAAATAAACGGACTCAACTAGCCCCGTTTGCAGTGAGCAATATTATTATCACAACTTTAACAAAAAAATTAGGTAACTATATTGTGACATAAATTATTGACCCGGTTCATACTTTTAAATTAAAATTTAATTTTGTTCAAATTTTATGAGGAAAAAAATAGTGTAACAAAAACTGAAAAAGACTATTTTGTTTTACAAGTAGAAACTGTGTATTTTAGCTATTAAACTAGTTTTTTAACAGTTTAATCTAAAATAAAAATAATTATATCTCGTATATTATAAATTTTTAATAGAAATATGTATGGGTAAAGACAACAGTTTCAATAAAAAAATACATGTCTTATTATAAAAAAATCTGAAAAAATAAAAAATGATATAGCTCTCCACTCGTGCGACGTACGTGGTGGCGAGGCGAAGGGCAGTACGGTTGGGGAACTGACTTTTCTTCATTTTGAATGAAACGGGTCAAGTGGTTTTTCCTTCATGGACAATATCAGTAGTCAAGTCACCACTCCCTGTAGTCCTGTTCAGCAACAAATGCAATTATAAATGCATATATTTTCCCTTCTTATTTCCTCCACCAAACTTTTCTTTTATAGCTTATAATTATAAGTTGGTTGGACTCACCCTTAATATTGCATTATATTAAATATTCTCTCCCATATTTTCTCTCATAGTTAGTTTTGCCCCAAACTTCCTGGGTGATCTAGATTTCTCCCACAACATAATTATGGCTCCAGAGATGGAGAAAACTTCTTTCTCAGTAAAACAAGCTGGGAAATCTTTTGGAGACGGCAACCCAAATATCGAAAACCCAGTAGTACATGGCGATCAAAGAAAAACAAGTATGTTCATTATAGCCCAAGTGGGTCTAAGAATGTTGGCCATTTTGTTCACTTTGACAGCTATAACTCTGATAGTCACAGACAAGCAATCCGTCACCGTTTTTGGCTTCCAGTTCAAAGCACGCTATTCTTACTCTTCTGCCTTTAGGTAATCGTCAAGAAACCCTATATTTTCCTGCTAGTTTTGAAGCTCTTTTAATACGACTGTTTATACTTTTATATATTATATACGTGGTTGAAGGTTCTTGGTGGGAGCAGACAGCGTCGTTTGCTCTTGCTCGGCACTGTCGTTGGCGTTTCTGTACCTCTTGAGGCTTTCAGAGAGTATTACAGACTCACAGGCGCAGCTCAGGAAGTATTTCTTTCTGTTCCTTCATGACACGGTAAGAAAATTTGTTTGGTCCTTTTTTTTTTTTTGGAGAATAATCTGGCAAAGTATTGAACTATTTTTGACGGTTCCAGATTCATAATAGTTATATTTTACTAAATTTGATAAAATTTTCTTTTGACAGTTTAAAACTGACATCCTACCTTCCTAAAAATGGATTTCTCTAGCTCTTTTTTGTTTTGATGAGAAAACGGTTAAGACATGTAGACAAAAAGCCATATAAAGAGTTCTTATTAGATATTATGATAAAAGTGTTAAAACAAAAGGGGCAACAGTATCTTGAACCTTAAGTGTATCATAATGACATAAAAATAAAAAAAAAAAAAAAAAAAAAAAAAAAAAAAAAAAAAAAGAAAGTATATAATTTTATAAAAAATGTAACACTAACACTACTACTTCTTCGAACCGTTAGTGTAATATCAGAATCATCATATCAAAACCAGAAGAGTATATATAATAATATAAAGAAACTTGATGAGACAATACTAACACTGTATATATTATGTTTCTTTTTTTTTTTTGAATTTAATGGGAAATGGTGACAAGATTTTATTAATTATTAATATTATTTTTTGAGTGAGACGTGCAGGTGATGTTGGTATTGGGGGTGTCTGGGTGTGCAGCAGCAACAGCAATAGGATATGTGGGGAGGCATGGAGAGGATCACATGTCATGGCAAAAGGTGTGTGATCAAGTCCCCAAGTTCTGCAACAAAATGCTCATTGGCTCTATCCTCTCTTACTTGGCTTTCTTTGCCTACTTCGCTCTTACTATCATCTCTGCTCACACTCTCATGATGATCTCTCATCCTTCCAAATAATACCCAAGTTAAGGAGTACGTTGTGTGAGAAAACTGTCCAATATAAAACTTGCCTTTTTTTTTTTTTTTTTTTCTTGTTTCTTTTGTTAATTTTCTCTGCTATATTAGGCCTACATTGTGCAAAAACTTGTACTGGGGTACCACTCTTTCAATCCAATGTTTAAATATTAATCGTATTTTGTTTGTTGTACAGTAATGTTAAATTACAGATGTGGTTGGTGTTGTTGTTGTGACTTGTGAGACGTGATCTGCCGTAAAACTTATTTCCATCTCATATTGCTCAGCTGTTCTTATCTGGCTTCCTTAATATTTCATGATGATTTGGCTCTTAGCTAGGTTGACACTTTTTTTTTTTTCACCTTCTTCATTTATATGTTCTGCAATGGGATATGTTAGGAAAACTTTGGTTGTAGAGTAAGAAAAAGGGAAAAAAAAAAAATAATAATTCTTATTAGTAATACGCAGCTCTATTCGTTCAAATGAGAATCCTAACATTGGAACTAAAAGGGATATATTGTAAATTTAACGAAACTTAAAATGAAGATCTAAGATGAGAAAAGTACTGGAATTATTTTTACCTTTTTTTTTTTTTTTTTTTTTTGGGGGAGGTGGGTGGGTGGTTAAAGAAGTTTGAATTCACTAGGATACAGTACCTATGGCCAAATGGGGTAGATGAAGGTTCATAAGTTTTTGCAACTACTTGTTCAAAAGGGAAACGCCAATTTAATTCAACATAGTTAAGACAATCAAATCAGGGCCCACATTGGGTTTAATTGCCCAGACACTTTTGTGGACCAATATCTTCTTTTTCTCGGCCACCATAGCACAAATGACATCAATGCACTTCTAACTACGTACTTGAATTAATTGCACAAAATAAATCAACATATTCCCTCCTCATCTTCTTCATCAAAAAAACATTGTCTGGCCGACCATAACCTTTCCTTGATAACTTGATTACATCCAATTTTACTGGTCCATTTTTTTTTTCAAAAAAAAAAAAAAAAAAAAAAACTTTAGTGGTCCATATTATTGTTAGAAAAACACTGTGCTATTGGAGCCGCTATTAGGATTGTATCCTCTCAGACGATGTTTACAGTGGTCCTTCCTCCAGAATTTAACAACTATAAATCTGCACAGTTCCTTTGATCTCTTTTGCAAAGCCACCTAAAAAAGACTATAAAATCCAAAGCACATACACATACACATATAATTGACATATATTTTGAAATTACCTAGGCCCGTTCATTTTACTAATTCGAGTTTATAATTTAAATTTTATTACAGTAAAAAGCTCTCAGAAACGGTCATATCTAACTTTTTTGTTACAGTAAAAAATTCTCACATAAAATTACATCTCAACTCAAATTGAAAACTCAAATCAGCAAACTAACCGGGCCCTAATATATTCAATACATAATATAACGATAGTCATCAACATCGGAGGAGAAATTGCCAAAAGTCCAGCATTCCTTGCGCTGAGAATAAAAAAAAAAAACTATAATTTGATAAAAATATTTTGTTATATTTATATGTATATTATATATTTTTAACGTTCTGTTATGTATTGAAAGAGTTGTTGGGATCTATATGTGCCCTAAGGATAGAAAATCGATTTTAGGGATTTTCTGTAGATTAACATTTTGATATTAATAAAAGAGGTTATTCATGTTTAATAAGTGGTGTCCTTTTTACTTTCATTTGTTGAATGTATGATTAATTGAGCAAACATAAATACTCCTAGGCTGTTGGTAACATATCGGATTACCGTTGTATACGGGGTATACATAGAAGACATGATAATTCGATAACAGTCTAAATAAAAGGTCCGCAATCGATGGAATAAGATTTGGGGATCTTATTCATGTTAAGATTGTAAAGGTTGTCTACTTCCTTGGAGGGATGGTTTGTCTTGACCATCGGATCGGTTCCGAGTAGAAACCTTGATGTATACCAGTATTGAGGTATGACATTGGACTGGACCTAAAATGTTAATTGATTCGGTTTAATAATTCCGTTTATAAGAATCAATGACACTTTGATTATCATTCTTCATTAATCTTAATCCTGAAATGGATACTTGAGTTCGCATCCATGACTCATGCACTTTGATCCACTATAGGTGAGACACTGATAATTGATGGTTAATATACTTGTGTGTTGGGTGTATGACATATGGATGGAGAAATCAAGATTTATAGATACGAAAACCATAGCCATCTAGTAGATGGTAAATGTTATCTACTTGAAGGCATTATTCGAGGATTGAAAGACAGTATAACAAGACATTGGCCATTGGTTTACTTTGTGTCCTCCGGTGGTTTATCGATTGTATGGTTTTTACAATTGGTGGTTCTTTCAATGGAGAATAATGGAACTTTAAGTTAAAATGATTGAAAAGGTAAAACGGAATAAGTCCTTAATTCAATCATGGATAACATATGGGGATTAAGCGAGTGATGAATGATCATGAAAGAAGCACTAAGTAAGAGAGCTTTCGTAATACGGTATGTAAACGGGAGTTCAGCTTTAGACTTTTAGTGGTATAGTCCTGAAGTTGATAATTGTTGAATAATTAATCGGGGATTAATTTTTCACAATTATAGGAGCCTCTTTACATATTTCCATCGGGTCCCTCTACTAGCTCATATAGTTCCACGAAGCGTCTCGGGATTCATTCTTAATGAGATCGGTAAGCTAAATGGAAATTAAGTAGTGTCTGATAAAGACATGGTACTCTCTTGCATGCAATTCCGAAAGGATTGGACATGTGAAATTAATGTGGACAAACATAATGATTTGTCGACATATGATTGGTTGTGGATAAAATAATTATTTGTTAATTATTTTGGTTAATTGAATTTTGGAAATAAGATTGTATTTGAATTGTTTAATTTTGGAAAAAGAAAATTTATTCTCTCCTATTTAAAGTGAACGAATTTTAATGGATGGAGGGAAATAGATTTTGTTTCAAAATAGTTTAAAATATATTCCTAATATTCCTTATTAATTAGTTTAAACAATGGAGCTTATTTGATAGATTTTCTTCATTTAAAAAAAATGGTTCACGTTTTTTTGAGAGAAAGAAAATCTAGAATATTCCATTTGATTAAATTAATTAATATGGATAATGTTTGTGGAAAATATTTATTTAAAATCCAAACAAGAGAATCTTATTAAAAGGAGTTTGAATCAAGATAGGATTTGGACTTTTGGAAGATCAAAGGATCTTGATTTGAATTGAAACCAACAACCTTATCTCCTAAAGATAAGTGGACGAATTTTTTGGAGTCCTTCTCCTAAGGAAATTCGTGGATAAGGTTCATAGAACCTAGCCCAAAAAGTTTGTGATCTTTTGGTTCAAAAAGATTTTCTAGTAAAAATAATTATTAATTATTTTTGGGTACAAAATTTGTTTTTTGAAAAAGGATCCAGATATTATATTAGGGCTAGTGCTTCATGAAACAAGAGATAATAATATATCACAAAAGGTGATACACGAATTTTGGGAGAAAGAGAGAGAAAAATGTTTTTGCCTTTCTTCAGGATAAGGGAAAAACGTTTTTTGAGATTTTCTGAACTTAAGAATTCGTTCATGGTGTGAGGAAAAATAAGAGAGAAAATTCCATTGAATCAAACTTAAGAGGAAAGGTTTTATCGAGGTCAACTTGTTCCTGTCTTGATGTTTTGAAGAACGATTCTAGATCGCTATCTTAACAAAGTACGTTAAGGTTGAGAAAGCGGGATCTAGGGTTCGTAGTGCAATACCGATCGCTTGGAACCTTACCACGTGTGCCCACACACACTCTGAGACAAGGAGCTCGAGAATAGTGGAAAAGATTCGTTGGTGGACGTTCTAAATATTCTGGAGTCCAAGAAACAAGGTATGTTTGATCATGCATTTAATTTATTGTTATATACATCATGAGTATTCTTTCCTTGTTCGGCATTAAAATTTTAAAACTTCCGTTGCGCCATAACTCTGATAACCGGATCCGTTTTTCCAACAAGAGTAGCTTGAGATAAAGGGTATTTCCGTGTATCAGATAACGTGGTCCATATAACTTGTCATCAACCATCAATGCTGCAAAATTATCAGCATTAATAGGTTGATCAAAAGTTCCCACGTGGGTTATATTTTGATCAGGCTAAGATCTTACTATCTGCTACTAGTGAAGTGATATTAAATGTCAAATATTGAACAATATATCATGTACCAAGACATAAAAGTGATAGACAAGTAAAGTAAGTTTTTTAAATAATTAACTTCTTTTCATTCCTGTAAATACATGATATCAGCTTTTGTATAAGAAGTGTAGTACTTATTTTGCTTCGGTTTCACTCTCATCTTCAGAATCCTTGAGATGCTCTTTCAGGGGCTGCTCTTGAGTTTCCCAGTTTTCGCTATCCCAAGCCAAGTCGATCTTGGGTAATCGGTAGTCTTCGGGTGCTAATGAAAGTTGGAATTCTGGTAAATCTGGCAATTGTTGGAGAACCCTGCACAACACCAACACAAAATTTTAGTAATTTATGGCAAGAGATCCATCTTTTTTTAGGCACCAATATAAATTTTATCCAAGTACATGAAGCCTCTTACTTTTCTTGTTCTAAAAGGTAGCCGTACATCTGAGACTTTCTTGATGCAACTTCTGGAATCTTCTGCTGCAAATGCTTCATAGCACCCCATAGAGGTGGAGCCCTTCCAAAACATCATAGAGAAAATAAATTGTCCATATTTATCAGCGGGTTAGCAATCTAATATGTCATTTTTGTAATTTCCAATAAATATAAGGTTGAACGTTATATTTCACTTGAATCTAGGACAAGATTTTTATTGCATTTGGTTCATAGGCCTGAACTACAGGACAAGAATTTTATTGCATTTGGTTCATAGGCCTGAACTACAACTTAAATCCTTTTGTTGTGGGAAAGGAAATGCCCGCTTTTTCCCCACTAACCCATTACGTTACGACCACTGAACAAACTTGGTTGACAAACATAGTTTATGCGCCGCTAATGTAGCGGCAGAAACAAAAGAAAATGATTCTTTTTTAATCAGCGCCCCCTTTTGGGTATGCAGGTACTAAGAGTCCTCTCACTACCAACCAGCAGACATCATCTGGCTGGGTCTTGCCGGTATCAACAACAAGAAAAAAACAACCAAATGGAAACAGCAACTAACTATGGCTCTTGGCCCAGACAACGTCCTAGGCGTAGGGGACACCCTCTATAATTTCTATAATGTATAAGGTTAACATTATATTTCACTTGAATCTAGGAGAAGCTTTTGCAATTTTCCCTTACTTATCAGCTATTCAAAACCAACCTAGTAACTGGAGGTGCAAGGCAAAAGGTCAAGCAAGCCTTCTTGCTCTCTGACAAGATTTCTTCAGCAGCAAGAAAACAACACACCGCGCTAATATGGCTTGATGGCTCACTGCCCTTGTCAAGGATCAGGCCATGGTAGTAGTAAGCAGCAGTCTAGTAGTACAAACAAGATCATCATTAATTATATTACATGTCAACAAAGAGAATCTTTACTTTCATTACTTGAGATTGAATTTGTGATAGTGTTACAAACCTTTGCTTCTAGAAATTTCCATTTTAGGAACCAAATGTGCTTTCCGCTCCCATGGTTGATGTCACATCCTCCTGACAAGCTGTGATAAGCCTAGTCAAACATTTAGGAGAAAAAAACAAAGACCATGAGCAAAAAAATAAAAAAATAAATAATATATATATATATATATATAAAGGAAAGTACACAGAGAAATAGATAATATCGACGGTCTTGAATATTTTAAAGTCATTTACTTTTTCGGTTGAAAATTTCCATGGTCTAAGAAAATTTCAATGGAAAGCTAGCAGTAGAACATGCAATATTGAATCCTGTATCAAAACTAGTTTTGAAGAAAAACATAATAGTCCATACTAAGGTTTCCTTTTCAATTGACCAAATGGGCTATTATAGCTATTCACACATGCCACTTTTGAAATCTAGCAATCTGAGTTAATGTTAGACCATACCTGGCTAAAATAGCGCAGTTGTTCACATGCCAGTCTCCTTTTAACTGACAAAGTGGCCTTTTGGCATTCAACTGCTAAACCAAGCTGGATTTCTGTCCCCTGCATATTCTTTCCATTGCGTTAGAATAAGTGGATATATATACATACATATATATACATATATATATATTATATATATACACCCAAACTCTATAGTCTAGTAAAGCAGACAATACCTGACCCAAAGCTTGAATGGAAATGGCCTCTAACACATTCTCTTGCATATCCTTGGGCAATCTTTTCCTGGTTTAACAACATATGTGGTTTTTCAATGTGTCAAAATTGAGGCTTCTTTTGTGGAAAATTTTTGTTTTATATAGATTCCAAAGTTACTTTTTATCTGTTCTTCATCGTACGTACTTAGTATCGGGCGGAATGCGAACTATTAGATCCCGGACACAGAACTCCAAGTAACCTGATGCCTTTAGCAACAAATCCACTGCTTCCCTCTTGCAATCTGGAAGCAGACATAATTAATTTTGCAGATCAACATCCCAGGACTTGGTTTCTTTAATGGGAAAGGACAAAATGAAAATCTTAAGAAATAAAACTAGAATAACTTAGGATTGCTTTTCTATTTCTTCATTCCTTACATCATTTGGTCGCCAAAAAATTAACAGTTTTGATTTTGAAAAATAAATGAACACATGAATATTTTTTCCCTTTCCTATCCATGATAAGTAAACATACCTTAATTATATATATATATATGTATATATAAAACATATAAATGGAAATGAATAAGGATAGAAGAGACCTGAAGAAAGAACCCTTACTCCAGAACCAGAATGGTCCTTGGGGATCATCAAAGAGTCAGCCTCCGCCAATGTCAGCATAGCCATCAGATGAATAACAGATAACACTTCAAACCAAGAGTTTGCCACACTTATTTCCTGCTCATACAATTTACAAAGCCATTATAAATCCACCAGACAAAGATAATCTCTTAAAAGCACTATTTATATATATATATATATATATAATACCTGTCGTCCATCTTGTAAATTTTTCCACTTGAATTCTACCAACCCCTCAACACCATACTCTGTTACATAACATAAAGATTACTATTTGTGTTGGAAAAAAAAATAAAATAAAAGTTACAAAGAAGGGGAGGAGAATGCAAAAAAACTTCCAATCCAGACCCTTTTTAGTAATTCCACTTAAAACAGACAAGTACTCTTCCAAAGCTCGCCGCAATTCAGTTACAGCAGATCCATCTGCAATAGATTACAAAACAAATTAATTAAATAAAAAACAAGTCCTTCCAATTTTCAGTTATAAAATTGAACTAAAAAAGGGGGCAAAAAAAAAAAAACTGACCAGTGTCCTCTGCCACTAACACAATCTGGCTACGAAGGGACTGTAGCCGGTCGACGAGATCCTTCGGAATCAAGCCTTTAAGCGGCCTTCGAAGATCGGATTCGACCGGAATTCGCATCGAAGGGACGAACACAACGACTTCGGAGATACTCGGCTTCTTCTTCTTCCAAGGAACAGCATATACAGAAGAAGCACACCCCATTTTGCTTTACTTGTGACTAGTACTGCTGCTGCTGCTACTAGTTTCAAACATAACGTGCTAAACAATTAAAGCCAATTATCAAAAGAATACAAATAAAGCCTTTATTAGTGCAGGAGCTAGACGAAAGAAATGGTGGTTGAATAATATTGATGATACTAGTAATAATTATAAATAATGGTAGTGGGATAACAAAAACACGTATATTCGAATCTAATCTTTTTGAGAAGGATAATATATAAATACAAGTTTGATGAACGGAACGGATAAGAGAGAGAAAAAAATGTGAAGAAAAGACTCACTGGTTACAGAGAGGAGAACGGAGGGACAGAGCTGTCAAGCTTCGAGCTTAGAGAGAGAGAGAGAGAGAGAGAGTGATAGAGAGAGAGAGACAGGGAGAGAGAGAGAGAGAGACAGAGAGAGAGAGATAGAGAGAGAGAGACAGGGAGAGAGAGAGAGAGAGAGAGAGTGATAGAGAGAGAGAGGAATCAAGGAATAGGAAAACTCAAGGACCGAGACATATTTCACATGGCCAAGACGTAGAAGTAGAAAATCTCTCTCTCTGCGTAGTTGAAGGAGCCCGTTGAAATTTTAATCAACGCGTGAATAATAAAATAATATACTTTTTTGCTTTGTCTTTTTATTAGGAAAAAAAAAAAACTAGGAAAGTTCTATGTATCGGGGGAAAGCTTGTACATTAATTTTACTCGCTCATATCTTTTATCTAATTGTAGTATATTAATTGGTATCTAATTAATTATACCGTGTAAAAATTTAAACTTAAGTAAGTATAACGAGGTTCATAAAACGAAATGTGTGACACAAACAATGTATTAAACCGTGAAAGAAGGACCCAAAATAAGGAAAAAGATTTTTCTTTTTATCTTGTTTGTTTATTTACTTTTGTTTTGTTTCTATCCAACTGGTAGGGCGAGTTCGTTAAAGTGTCGTAAGTGTGATTTTTGTGGGTCCAACTCCAAATTGTGGGGACCCACACAGGGGAGGAAAATTGAGTGAGTACGTGGATTTGGAACTACGGCAAACAGGTAGGGACCACTTTAGGACAGCTGGTCTCATCCGTGTAGTTGGCCGACCTCCAATGACTTTTCTTATTCATTCTCACTCCTTCGATCTGCCAAGTCAGCAATCACTTTTTGGGATATCACTCTCCAACTCTACTCATTTTTAGATATTTTAAGTCTAGCCCAAATAAATGAAATTCACTTATACTTGGCGGTTTTTATTTTTATTTTTTGTGTGAAAAAAGGTGGAGGATTTATGCCATGGAGTATGGACTTCTTTTCCCACTCACTTAATCAAAAACTAGAGTAGAAGGCTTGATTAACTTTGATCTAGAACTTGAGGCCCAATGCAAGTATACTTGAGGACAAAAGTTAACACTTTCCATGATCTTCAAAATTATTGTACGACTTTCCGGGGGCAGAAAAAACAAAAACAGTATAATCTAAGGTGGTCAACTATATATATATATATATATGCGTGGTTGCAAAGAGTAAAAAACAAACCATGTAAATATATGTGTATATATACACACATATATAAACAAGTTGTTTAGGTGGGGTGTCAATGAATCTGCTGTTCATTATAGATCTGGCTATGCCATTATTGAGAAAATGCATGGGGTAATCAATATAATTGAGATTACAGACTTCCCACAGATCCCATCCACCATGTTACTGTAGATGGGCCACAGCCTGGCTTCTCAGATGATGTCCAATGTTTCTTAAACTTTGCAAAGTTGTACCTTAAAAAAAAAAATATATATATATATATATATATATGTATATATACTTTTGGAACTTGCAAATATTGGTTCTTTTACTTCTTAGTTCTCACTTCTCTCCACTTTTGAGGCTTTGGTTTTGTAACTCACACTCGGTTTTCAGGCTCAACAAGAGTACACCAAATGAGAGTGTAACATTCTCCTAGAGAGTCACATTACTGTTTCCTCAATATTCATTCTCATCATCTCCGTTAGGGCACTGGTGTTTATATTATTGATGACCTTTTTCTTTATCATACTAAAATTGAAAAAAAAAAAAAAAAAAAGGGCCTGAAACATGAGTTTTTAAAAAGTAAATTACTTCTTTAGGGTATCGCCCTACGTCTCAATTCAAAAAGAGTTCTTTTAAACTAATTAGAATGGTGGAGTAGAACTTTCACGTGACAAAAATAAAATTTTCGGGTCTTGTTGATAATTTTGATGTATTTATATTTATGCCTGCGTGGTAAATTGTTTATAATACAAGACATTCTTTTGCTGCTATTTATTAACAGATTAAACAGAAGCAAATTGAGTAGGGTATGGGAAGCTATACAAGATCGAAGAGAATTTAATACAAAGTTTATATACAAATTTAATACAGATGTAAAAGAAGTGCCATGAACATGGTATAGACATAGTTGGCACTTTTAACGACAAACAGGACAATGTGCTACTCTGCTATGGAACTTCACAACTATTTTGATCATTTAGCAGTAGCTTCACCTGACTTGACAAACCGACCTTTCACTCGCTTTCTGGTATCAGCCCTTGCCTTTCTTGACTCATAACGTATGTGTTTATCATACCTGTTCAAAGCCCACCGACATCAGTAACCAAAAAACGACACCATTACTAGAACCCCCAAAACGACAACAATAATAAAAGATTAGGATGGTTATTTGTTATGGTATCTTGTATACACTAGAACTTTTGATTTTGTACGAGTAATTATTTTCATAAATAATTCAGAATGTTAATTAAGGAGAAAGGAAGTAGTTGCCTTCTAGTTTTCTTCTTCTCCTTGTAGCGTAACATGGCAGTGCCTCTGTTCTGTGCCACCATCTCCATGTCCACCTTAGGCTTTGTCCCTTTTTCAATGTCACTCCTAGGCATAAGAAGATGTCCCAAGTCCTTCACAGATATAGCAAAATCCGATTCGGATTGTTTGCTGATGCTTTCTCCTGTTGCCGGAAGATAATTCGACAACGGTTGACTCGAGTGATTCTGCAATTTTTGTTTCTCCACCAAGCGTATCAATAGTCGTTAAACAACATAAGACCTTAATCAAACATGTGCATTCGCTATGTTCTATCTGTTTTTCCTTTACAAGTCATGCAAAATGATTGCAAGATTGAGCAGTGAGAATTGCTTACATGTTCAGAGAGAGCATCGTCAAACAAGGTAGAGATCTCACACTTTGGTGTCACTAAATAAGGTTTGTTTGTACCATATTCTGTGGCTTGTGAACCTGATTCTTCATAATCTTTTGACTTTTCTAGACGAAACTCCCACATCTACAACCAAGGGTAAAAACGACATTTAGCATGCTCCTACATTTAGGATAGCATGTGCTTAGTATACACAGTGTATATATGTGTGTTTGAGAAAACAATAGCAAGACCAAGAAAAGAGTTTTGCATTGCTTGACATAAAAAAAAAAAAATAAAGAGACACATGTGTTTGTTAACTTGAGAAGTAAATGGCTTTCAAGATATGGACCAAATATTAAATTCACATAATAAATTTCCATCAACTCCAGTAAATAATTCAGCAATGAAACTACAATCCTACATTTTTCTTGCACGATGCTGTGCTTTCTTGCGAAAACATGTTTAACTATCAATATTTTGTTGATGAACTGATGAGCAAAGTATGAACTGTTACATGTACAAGTAAAAGCTGAGCATGGTGACCAAGGATATAAAAGAGTAACGCTAATTGTACTAATAATTTTACCGAGTCTATAGTTGCGAGTTTTACTTTTTATTGGTATGTGTAATTATTTTAATACTAATTAATGCTGTAAAATTAGTAATGAAAAATAACAACTTATGTATCACATCAGTTAGAACTAAAAATAGAATAAATGACATACTTTTTACGAGCTATTAACTTCCTTCACATACTATTAACTTCATTCACTATCAATTTCATCAAATTATTAACTTCCTTCACATATTGCCTTTAAGTCAATCGAGATCTCAATTTCTCACGAAACTTCTAAGAGCTTCTTTTTGCGATAACAATGGAATAAACGACACTTCTCTACTATTAACCACCGTCACATATTAATTGCATATTTACTACTAGTACATTAAGTCAAGCAAGACCTCAATTTTACACAAAGCTTCCAAGAACAGCTTTCAAACGACAATAGAACAAACGACATAAAAGTGCGGAATTTACTAAGATCTTTTTCCAAACATACCAGAGAAGACTCATAGGTGGGATTGTAATCCCAAAGAAGATCTTCTTCTTCTTCATCATCAGCAACATCCGAAGCAGAAACACTCTGTGTAAGCCCCAGGTCCTCGGATAAGACAAGCAAGGAGGTAAACGACGTCGTTTGAGAAAATCTTCGACTTGGCGGTGTCCTAGGCCTCAACTCAGCCCCATCTACATCCACCCGCACCAGATCCTTCTTCCCCATCTCCACTAACTGCTCACACAGCTCGTCCTTAACAGAAGAAGCATCTAGAATGTTGTTCACCACTTTTTGGTCATCCAAAAGATTTTTGAACCCAAGAGTAGAAGCGAGGCTATTGGCTGATGGGCAACCCGAGAAATCTCCAACTGTAGAACAGTTTGTGTGTGATTGATCTTTCAAGTTACAAGTAGTACTACAGCCTTGGCAGAGAAGACAAAGACCATTTTTTGAAAAGGTCGAAACCGAAGCCGGTTTGGCACCGCAGTTGTGGCAGATCCACCACCGCGTGTGCTTGAGAGAGAGTGTGTTGGCCGAGTGGACGTGGCGGTCGCAAAGCAGGCAGAGATTGGCCGAGTCCGCGGGGCAGTACAGAACCGCAAACTTGGCTTTGCAGAAATTGCAAAACGAAAAAACCATTTTCCCACTTAGTCCAACAGTAATTCCACACTTTATCTCTTGAAAAAAAAAAAGAAATAAATAAAAAACTAAAGTTGATAATTAAAAGTTGAAGAAGATGATAGAGAAATATAGATATAATTAATTGAAGTAACAAGAAAAATGAAAAAGGTGTAATGTAAGAAGACTAAGACGGAAATATCTCTTATCTCCTTGAAAAGTGACGTTGTTAATACGATTGCATGAGCAATTGGTGAGGGGTTTGAATTGATGTGAAAGTGTGATTGGGCGTTACGATAAGCATGGAGTGATGGAGATGGGGAGGGAATGAAGATAATATTATTGACGAAGTTTGTATACCTATGTACCTAAAGGATATATGTGATTTATTTGATTGTGATTTATGGGCAACGAACGACATGCGGGGGTCCACAATAATAAGGTCCCATAAAAGTGGATATGTTCGTTGAACTTTTTGCCAACCTGGCGCCGAAAAAGTGCATGTGAGTTTGTTTGCTCTGCGGGGAGGCTCGGCTTCAATGACTTGGTCTTTCATTGGGCTTTATTAGGCCTTGATGTCTGACCAATCTGGGCTATTGGAGCATGGACTCCCAAAATCAATATCCATTATCCACACTTTCGGTAGACATACAAAAAAAAAAAAAAATAGCGGAGAAATAATAGAAAATAGGTCAATATAAAAAGTTTAAAAAAGTATATAGATTAATTTTTAGTTATAAAATTTAATAAGTTATAATTTATCAAGTTATGGTTCATAATCAGATAAATTATGGACAAACTTATCAAGTTATGGTTCATAGTCAGACAGTTATGGACGAAAACAGTAATTTGGCCTATTTATTAACTTATATAAACTGTTGGCCTATTAATTTTAATTTATCTCAAATCTTGGCCTATTTCTCTCTTTCTCCCGATAGCGCTCAAAGGATGTCATGACATCAATACATTTATACCCTCGAATGATATAAATTTTACATTCATATCAGTCAATTTACTAAAAAGAATATTTTCAATATCTTACAAAATTATCAAAAATGACCTGACATCCGGCTCCGGTTTTTAAAGAGTATTCTCGTAGAATGTTATTTTTTTAAATCAATAAAAATACCAATAGCGCTAGATAACATAAAGGTGATTGGATTTTGATGGCATACTATGTACAAAGTTAATATACACGACTATTATAAAGATATAAAATAACATGGAATAACTTTTTTATCATTTGCTTTTTTTTTTTAATTTAATTTCAGTATAATATGATTCGACATCATCCAAGTTCCAATATAAATAGAGCTTCTTTTTTTTTTACTTTTTTTTTTTAATTTAATTTCAGTATGATATGATTCGACATCATCCAAGTTCCAATATAAATAGAGCTTCTTTTTTTTTTTTAAAAAAAAATCGTGGCAAGGAATTTTTCTTTGCAGCTCCAAAACGAAGCATGAAGAAATTAACAGGATAAGATGAGCTAGAAAAAAGAAACAAAAAGAAAATGAATGATTTGATCATTAGTAACCATATCCCAAAACCAGCAACATCTTAAATTGAAGGTTTCAAATTTTGATTATTTATTCCCAAGTCATATATAATTATTTGGCAGAAATTCATAGGAAATGAATGATGATTGAATTTCAAGAGTTGTATTACAATTATGTGCTCCAAATAAATACTCAATATATATTTGATGATAGCAGAGTGACTAGATAATGGTAACCCTTGAGTGGATTCAGACAGAAAGTCAATGACGATGGGAAGCAAAAGCCTTTTTGTGTGAGTGGCAAATGCCTTTGACTTTTATGTTTTAATAGGTGATGAGGGCATCTTAAATGGAAGAGGATGTCGGTTTGCGTTTGGAATCGTGTTCTTAATGCAACTGCAATGCAGGAATACTTATAAGAATGGCGTTTGATCGATCGATCTTATGCTTTTTCCTTTTTTCTGTGAGGTCAAAATGTTTGATTTTTAATCACAGAATTTTCTGCAAAAGAAATAGAGGGCTACGTGCCAGATTCTAAGCGGCATGCAATTAAACCCATTCCTTGGAGACACTAGATATATCGATATATTACTAGAATTTGGTTACTTCTTAGCTTTCTTGGATGCTTTAATATAGCGTCAGTTATTTAATTAATTGATTCCGTTTTATTGGGGTAAAGATAAGTTATTAAGAAGTTACATTTATTTATTTATTTTTTTTCATTCTTTCTCTTTTAAATTTTAGACCATAATATTAGAGACCGTGTGGATTTATCACTAGATTACGCCCTTCGCATCCAATCATTGCCGTAGAATTAAACTTGTGAGCTTTATATAACATTTAATGATGTATTAGTTTATAAATTTGTTATTGAATTGCATTGATCCCCTTTTAAATCTCATAATCTATTAACCAGTGGCACTAGCCAAGCCAAGTAAGAAGCCAAAAAAACTTGCACTAAGCCCACCAAAGACCTAGCTATGTCATAGCTTGCAAAAGCTAGCCATTCGTTTACATTAAAAGATTGGATGTTGGGCATATTGACAAATTAATCAAAAATAAATTAATCATGACAACTTGCATGGCAAATTTCAGCCTTTGATAGCCTTTACTATTTTGGGAAATTCGGTCTCCCTCGTTGGGTCGAAGGTCACGAGACATGATCGCACTAACATTTTTCTTTTTCTGGGCCCCTTCAACTAACGAGAATATATTCCATTATGGGCAGCCAAACGATGTTATAAGCAATAACTACTTTTGGAGGAAGAAAAAAGTTTAAATATTCAAAATAAATTGCACTAAATAGGAAAGTAAATTATAGATCATGGTGATCTCAAACAAATTTAAGGGCTAATCTGTAGTAGCTAAAAGATAATAAGATTCTAATCTCTTTTTTTTTTTTTTTGTGAATGGTTATAAATAGAGCTCTTTGAGACATTATGTGTATCAAAAAGCATATATCCTCATTGGTGCTAATGAAGAGAGGTCTAACATGAAGATAAAGAGCCTTGTTTGGTAGCCAAGGATGACTTGCCTGCCTCCTTCCAAGAGGTTTTTCAATATGTTTTTTCTGATCATAACTTTATTATTAATAGATCCTTGCTGGGTCGCAGGCAGTCACCTTGGCTAGCTTGACAGGCTCTTTTCTTTCATGCTACACCAATTTCTCTTCTTTGTGATTTAGTAATTACCTAGTGAATGCATTTGGATTCATATTGCCGGCTATATATATATATATATATATATAATACATGTTCATTATTATATATGTGAGAGGAAGGGGTGGTCTTACATGAGGATAAGAGTCTCTTTAATTGGCGTGATAGCCAAGAATGACTTGCCTGCGTCATTCCAATATTTCGTGAATATTGGATTCCCAGGCAGTCATCTTGGCTATTCTCACAGGCTCTTCTCTCTCATGCTAGGTCTCCTCTTCTTCATTTTTCAGTGCATTCATTTTATGTTGCGTGGATGAGATTCCTATCTATCTGAATCAGTCGTATCCTCTGAGCTATGCATGACGACCAAGGTAAGTGCATCTCTAACTATAACAGACTGTTATGTGTATTCATACACACACTTGGTTATTTAAATCAATATTAAAATAATTAAAAATAAAACCATATGCCAGTAGTTTGAAATACTCTTTTAGGACCCGTTTACTTCACAGATTTGAGTTTTTAATTCGAGTTGAGATGTGACTTTATGTGAGCTTTTTACTGTAGTAAAAAAGTTAAATGTGACTATTTCTAAGAACTTTTTACTGTAACAAAACTCGAATCGATGAAATGAACGGAGCCTTAAAGTATCAGTGTGTAATCAAGTGCTAAGTCAATTCATCACCCACACTACAGAGTGACCCGTAGGGGTTTTAGAACCTGCCCCTAAAGATACGATCTCCATTACTAAAACCAACTATCAAAGACACATTAGATACCGTTTGAAAACTTATATATCTCATGTTCGAATTATCTCAATCCGAGACTCAATTTATTTTTCTAAAACTCACTTCTAAAAACCATAATTCGCGAGCTCAGATTTTTAATAAGGTTTTTCTTATATATAATCACTATACATATATATATATATATTTACGCACAAATATAAATAAACTCCATTTGAATTCTCAAAGTCGGAATAAAATCAAGAGATGAAAATCCACGAGATATGTCCGAAAAGAAAAAGAAATGCAGTCCCATGCTTAAACAAAATCAAAACTCAAGAAATGAACTTGCTAAGTTCAATAATCTGCACAATACCCATTAATGAACAACCAACAATGCAAAAGTGTCATGTTCCAATAAAATCTATTGTCTCCACAAGATATCATTGTACGCCAAGTGTTAATTTATTATCTTTTAACACTTTTCATCGTATTCCATTAGAAACCTCACACTTAGTGTCAAAATAACCTTTAACACTTTTCATTTAATACGGGATTTTAATTTTAGTGAGGACAGTGACGATATTTGTCATCACTAAAATGTTCTTTTTTTAGTGAATTGAAAAACCGCTTGACTTACCGCATTAAGTGAAATTTTGGGCTTTTCAGCGGTAAAGTCTTGCTGCAATGCAGTCTGCCTTGTGCCACGAAAATATAGTCATTTGTATCTTTAGACAAAGCAGCAAAGACATGTCATCGCTAAACAATACTCGGTGCCAAAAGCCATTTTCAACAATGATAATTGTCATCTTAGATTGCCATCATGTTTTAGCGACGATTTTTGTGTCACTGACAATGTTTTGCGACCACATTTCACCACAATTTGTGCTTTGACTCATTAACTTTATCAGCAACGGCTGTGATGATTATCTTTCAACGACAATAATTTTTACATAATTTAGCTGAGTGTTTGTTCCAGGAACATCCTTATTAAGCCTAAAATTTGGAAAAAAAAAAAAAAAAGATAATAATAATAAAATAAATTCATGAAATTTATCCATGTATTATTAACAGCTATAGCAAATCGCATTTTCCAACGGCTGGCCGGGCATGGATGGCCTGGTCTACAACCGATTCAAAGCTGCATTATTAGTATTTATTATAGGTAATTTATTTATTCTTAATACATTTTATAAGTTATTAATTCATTCATTAACCAAGAAGCTGTATGCATGCGTTCATATATATATAGGAAGCTAAAGTAGTTTATAGCTCCCTAGCCTGCATAAGTGCGCTTGTAGTCGTCCCAGAGCTGATAAACGGTCTTTCCCAGAAGCTGTCTGAAGTAATCGTCAACGTAACCAGTCGGCCTCAATTTCTTGTTGAGTTCAGCGACAAAGTTACTTCTCAAGCCAGTGCAATAATCAAGAAATCTTGCAGTAACATCGTACCCTTCGTAGAAGCTATCCCCTCCTCCTGGCTTTACCCAGTTGCTCGGAATATAACCCGACCTCAACCTCACGTAGTCCGCGATTCCTTCGATCAACCATCCCGGGGCTTGCCCGTTTCCATTCCACTGCAAAACATGAGTCAGCTCGTGGTATAGAACCCCTGCGATCTCCCTCTTGACATCGCCGGAATAGCTCGCGATGTACCTTGCGTTGAGATGGATCTCGTTGGTCGTTGCATATGCCGGGACTTGAGCCTGGCTGTTGGGGAAGTTTTCGAGGATCAAGACGAGTCGATTGATGTCCTTTCGTTGCGCAGCTGAATATTGCTCGAACCATCTCCATATATCGTACGTGGCAGTTATGAGAGTCAGCCTGGCATACGACACTCCGATTTCTCTGTTGAAGCGGACATATCCAGCGCTGGATCCGGCTCTGTTATTGAAGTCGTAAACGTTGATTGCGTGGATGCCGTTAATGGTAACCGCTAGGGTTACCACGGCCAGCAAGGAGAGGGAAAAGAAATGGAGATTAGTCATTACGTAGTTCCTTTTTTTTTTTTATTAGCTTTTGTTTTATCTCGTGTGCTCCTCCAATATATGGTTGGGTTTATATAGGGAATGGAGAAGTGTTAAGATTCAGATAATCTTCCTGATATTTTTGTCATGACGTACGTGGCTCCTTATATGACTCTCAATTAATTAGTTTAGAAAAAGAAGACATGCTATAATTATTAGTTATCGTAATTATGATAAAGTTTCTTTCCATAATAAGATATATCCTAATACTCTACGTATTAGCTAGGACATGCTTAATATTATTATTTTTAATTTTCATATCTTGACATTATATCGTCATAACTCATAAGAGTAGGTCATAACTCATAAGAGTTGGCCAAGTAGTAGTTTATAAATAAGAACTTATTTGGTATAGCTATGTACTTTACGAAAATTGATTTACTTTAGAAGGTTAAGTACGATTTTGATTTTATCTCTTTAATTAATTTAGTTAAATATATGATTGCTGAACAATTTGATATCAAGATTATCATTAAGGGTGTGTTTGGTTGGAAGTAATGGAATGAAAAGGAAAGACTATTCCGTTCAATTCTAACGTTTGGTTCTATTTTTACTTTCAAAAAAGGCTTTCTGTAGGAAAGCCTATTCACTCAATTTGAGTGAATCGTGATTCACTCGAGGGGACGGAGGAATGGCCTTTACATTCAAGCCTCACCACATTTTTGTCCAAAATCTCCCCGATTGAGAGAGAAAAGCCCTAGCCCCCTTTACTCCCTCGACTATTTCATTTCGTTCTCAATCTCCGTAGCCACTTTCATATCAAGTTGAAGATTGTCTAAATCGAAGGTACATAATGCAAATTTCTCATCCTTTGCTATTGTTTCTGCATTCATTTTAATTCTTGTTCTTTTTTAATGTGTTAAATGTGTATCGAGAAAAAAAAACATGAAAAAGATAAAATAAAGCACATATCAAAGGTAATAGAAAAAATAGACGAGAGAGAAGAGAAAAATAAAGCTGAGGAAGAATGAGCAGAACTTCTCATTACTTGAAAAACGGATACAATACCTTTGCTATTTTATATTGCTCCAGAATTGTTGTAACTAACTTATTCCGGAGCCTTCTACATTTTGTCATTATGTGTAACAGAAAGAAAACTAAATATTGTAAAGGATGAAAAACATAGCAAATACGCCTAAATTCTAATACTCCCCCTCAAGATGGAGAATACAGATTGTGAATTCCCATCTTGGTTAAGAGCTGACGAAACTGAGCAGGATGCAAAGCTTTGGTGAACGGGTCTGCCAACTGATTATGTGTTGCTACGTGCATCGTTTTGATTATCCCTGCTTGTATCCTTTCACGCACAATATAATAGTCAATTTCTATATGTTTCGTTCTCTGATGATAAACCGGATTGGCCGCAATATGTAGAGCCGCTTGATTATCATAGTAGAGTAAGGCAGGACTTGTGTGCTTAACTCGAAGCTCACGAAGAAGGTTAAGCAACCAAACAATCTCGCAAGTACAATTGGCCATAGCTCTGTATTCCGCTTCAGCCGAGGAACGAGAGACAACTTGTTGTTTCTTTGATCGCCAAGATACAAGAGAAGATCCAAGAAACACACAAAAACCTGTGAGTGACCGTCGTGTGTCTGGACATGTACCCCAGTCGGCATCAGCAAATGCTTTGAGCTGAAGTTTGGACTCTGAAGAGAAGAAAATTCCATGTCCTGGAGCCTTCTTTATGTATTGGAGAAGGCGCTGTGCTGCTTGAAGGTGAGGAACACGAGGAGCAGCGAGATATTGACTGAGGCGATTAACTGAATAACTCAAATCAGGTCTGATAATTGTTAGATAAATCAGCTTGCCAATTAAGCGTCTATAAGTGGTAGGGGTAGAGAGAAGTTCACCATCTTCAGAAGATAACTTGAGGTTCGGCTCCATGGGTACAGAGACTGGTTTGCATCCTAAATACCCTGCTTCTGAAAGTAACTCTAAAGCATATTTCCATTGGCAAACGAATATACCAGCCGCTGTACGTGCCACTTCAAGGCCCAAAAAATACTTCAAGCTTCCCAAGTCCTTTATTTTGAACTGTTTACCAATGGCTGATTTGAGTGTCTCTACAGCTGCTTGATCATTTCTGGCAATAATGATATCGTCGACATACACTAAGAGTGCAAGGAAGAAGTTGTCAGTGACCTTGATAAACAAGGTATGATCACAAGTAGATTGAATAAATCCTTCGGAGAGCAAAACTATTGAAAACTTGTGAAACCATTGTCTCGAGGCTTGTCGCAGCCCATATATAGATTTGTGGAGCCAACAAACGGCATTAGGAGGTAAAGACTCCCCCTTGCGACAGGCATAGCCCGGTGGTAAGTCCATATAAATTTCTTCACGGAGATCACCGTGGAGAAATGCATTCGTGACATCCAATTGAGTGAGTGACCATCCAGAGATAGCAGCCAAAGATAGTAAAACTTTGACAGTAACAAGTTTTGCAACCAGGGAAAAAGTGTCCAGAAAATCAATCTCTTCTTGTTGAGTAAAACCTTTGGCAACCAATCGTGCCTTGTGACGTTCAATAGTACCATCAACAAGAAATTTTGTTTTGTAGATCCATTTACAGCCCACTAAGTGTTTGCCAGGAGGTAGAGAGACAATAGACCAAGTGCCATTGCTTTCTAAGGCTTGTAATTCCACATTCATGGCATCACGCCAAACTGGGTGTCCAATGGCCCGAGAGAATGATATGGGGTCTGTTGGTTGCCGAATCGAATTCGGCTGCGGAAGCGCAGTGGTGCGGGGAAGAGGCGGATCGTGTATAACAAAAATTTTCATAAAACTTTTGAGATACTCTATAGATTATATTAATTTATGCACGAATAAATTAATCTCATTAACTTATA